TATTCTCTTTATACTCTTAAATCTGCTGCGATTCTTCGATTCTAAGACACATTTTCCCCATCTCTGAAGTTGGGTTTCCCACTGGCGAAGTGACAGTTGAATTGGCACCCCTTTTCTTCGAGGTTATAAAAAAATGATTTTCACCATTGATGGCATTTTTGATTTGACAAAACCCAGCATATCCCCCCAGTCATTGCCTCCCCAGGCCCGTCTCAGACCACCAGCTACCTTTTAGGATTTTTTTTTTTTAGAGGAAGGGAGAGGGAGAGAGAGATACAAACATCAACGATGAGAGAGAGTCATTGATCGGTTGCCTCCTACACGCTCCACACCTGGGATTGAGCCCGCAACCGGGGCATGTGCCCTGACCGGGAATTGAACCATGACCTCCTGGGTTCATAGGTTGATGGTCAACCGCTGAGCCACACTGGCCGGGCACCTTTTAGATTTTTTTCACTGGACACCACACCACCTCTTCAGACTCAGCGGAGTTAGGGCTAAAACCATCCTTGCATTTTTCTCATGAAATAGAACTACTTTTTCTAACTCTTTTTATTTCCACATGGTGACTGCTGTCCGAGTGGCCTGGCTGGGGCCCCTCTCATGCCGCCCCCGTAACGACGCAAACACCAGCCAGTGTTCATGGTGCTTCCTGTGCGCCAGGCCTGCGTGTGTGTGGACTCACTAACCTCGCAGCAGCCCCACTGGGAGGCACGTGCCGATTCCTCTCTTACGTGTGAGACAGCCACTCCCCGGGGCCACAGGGCTGAGACATGGCCGAGCAGGCGGCCAGGCTGGAGACCCACTCCAGGTCCCGACCCTGAACTGCCCGTCTCCGCCCAGTGCTCGCTCACCCACGGAATGTCCGCGTCGCTGTGGCTCCACGCGCCCCGCCCTGCCTGATGTCATGCCGCTGCCCCTCTGACAGGCCACCTGGCAGGCCCTGGCCGCGATCTTCCCACAGCGCCTCTTTCCTGTCTCCGCTTCCTGCTCTCACACTCGGTAAAACACAGTTCTGTTGGGAGGTAATTATGTGTCACACAGTTCACGCATTCGAGGCATGCAGTTCAGCAGCTCGGGTATGTTCACGGAGTTGGGCAGCCATCCCCATGGCCCACTTTAGAACATCCTCAAACTTGTGCCCCTTGGCTGCCCCTCTAATGCCCCCCTCTCCCCAGCCCCCCATTACCTCTGGTCTTTCTGTCTCTCTGGATTTGCCTGTTCTGAGCATTGCACATCAGTGGAATGATACGATTTGTGGCCTTTTGTGCTTGGCTTATTTCACTTAGCATGATGTGTTCCAGGTTCACCCATGTTGTAGTGTTTGTCAGAGCGACCTCTTTCGTTGCTGCCTAGTATTCCGTTGTGTGGGTGGACCACATGTTCCTCATGCATTCATCAGCTGCTGGACATGCAGGATGCTGCTCTTCTGTGGCTGTTGTGAGTAATGTGGCTATGAGCATCCGTGTACAAGTTTGTGTGTGGACGTATGCTTTCCTTTCTCTTGTGTATACGTGACAGTAGAATTGCTGGGTCACATGGTAGCTCCTTAACTAGTTGAGGTCAAGAACTTAATAGCTCCTCACACTCCTCAATCTAGTTCCCAAGGCCCTTTCCGTCTGTCCCGGATTCCTCCTACTCCCAGCCACAAACCGGCTGCTTCTGCTGGGCCAGGCGTTGCCATCTGAGCTGTGTGCTGGGGCCTCTGCCCTCTGGTGCATGCTGTCCACCCTAACTGGGATGTGGCCCAGGGACAGTCAGCCCAACATACATGTCTTTGAGACATGCAGCGTTTTAAGCAATCTGAATTATGTGTGCACATTTAAAAATCATGACATTACACTCATTGGTCCAAATGTTTATGTTCTCCAAAAAAAATTAGAAGATTTGGTCACCCTGAGCCCACACTCCAGTGTGGCACCACCTGATGGCAGCTGAGGCATTTAACTGTCCTGAGGGATATAAGCGCTGCCCCACCCCCTCACACCTGCACTGGGCCCCCTGGCATGGGGTCCCTGACCTTTGACCTATCCCATCCTCTGGAGCCCCGCTCAGCTGGCTCCTCCGACCACTGTGCTCTGTTCTGAAGTCCCTGGTGCTTGGGCCACCGAGCATCACACTGGGTGCCATGTCCTGTGGTGGTTTCAATGGGGTGGCAGGAAGTTGAAAGGGAGGTATTTGGTGGCAGGAACTGCAGGTGCTGGGGCCAATGGCCTGGCTTCCAACCTTAACCAGCTGTGTGACCTGGGCCAAGTTACCTAACTTCTCTGAGCCCCAGAGGTCACAGCAGGACGTCCTCATATGTCGGGATGGTGAGGAGTAAGTGGGCTGATATCCATGCATTGTTATTGTCTTAGCTTTTCCTGGTGTCTTCTCAACAACATTGTAAGGACTTCGACAGTCAGAACCTGTGGGGCGGGCTCGGCCATTGTCTTCAGTGGGGCGCTCTGAGCATGCGGCCTGGACAGGCCTGGGCCGTGCTGTCCCAGGGTTCCGCTCTGGCCAGGGACGCTGAACTCTGGGTGAGAAGAGTCACTCCGGCACTGGGGACATGGGTGCCTTCCCGCAGGCAGGCTGCGGCTTCCTCTCTGGCCCACAGCACTGGTCCGGGCGGGCCTGGTCCTGCTCGCCGTCCAGCTGGCCGGAGCTGCGCTGGGAGCCGGGCAGGCAGGTGGCTGGGACCTCACTTGGGACCCCGGTGGCCGCGGAAAGCAGCATGCTGGCCACGCGGCCTGAACAAGGAGCCCTCCCCGTCGTTTGTTTGAATTAGATATTGACTCGATAAAAAAGAACGCTTACAAAATACGCCTACGATCTACAGGACTGTGGTATAGTGAATACCATGTACCCCCCAGCCTGACTTCAAAACAGGGCTTTGGTGTCTCCGGGTCCCTCCCCAAATTCCCTCCCGCCTCACCTGCAGGGCTCCAAACTGCGGTGGACCGTGCCTGGCCCCTGCCTGTTGTTGCCGTGGCTGTCTGACCCCTGACAGCGGCTGTGGCATTTGAAGGGCGCCGTGCTGTGTGTTGGATGGAGGTGTCTGCTTTTGTCCCTTTATCCTGCATTCAGGATAACCTCTCAGGTCTGACTTCTAGTAACTGACTCTTTTCCATGGTTTCTGATACATAAAGCCTTTCTAAGTCCCAGGAGCAGTTTTCCTCTGTCTTAAGTTCTGTTTTTCTGGTCATTTTCCATCCTGTGTTCAGAATTAATTTTTTTTGGAAGCATTCACGTTTCTTTCTGTCGACATGTTTTTTGCAGTTGATGTGTGACGACGTGTGTCTGTTCGTTTCCTCCGCTGTGCAGTGTCCCTTGGTTGCGGGCGGCACGCTCTCAGGCGCCAGGGCTGCCGCAGTGAGCAGGGACGCAGCCCCTGCTCGGATGGAGCTTCGGGTGTCATGGGGCAGCAACAGGCGGGCACTGGGTCAGGCAGGGGCCCGCGGGGTGGGCCAGAGGTCAGTGACGTCTCCCGGAGCGGGAACCCGAGACCCGCGCACGACTGGCGTTGCCGGGGTAAGAACCAGCCTGCGTCGTGGACAGTGCAGTGAAGCCTCCACCCGTGACTGCCCCCCTGTCGTGACGTGAGCTTTCTCCGTGTGTCGTCGACTGCGGTGCAGATAGGAGCCGTGCCACGCGAGCAGCTGGGCACTGGCACCTAAGCGCTCAGACAGCTGGAGCCTCTGCACTTGACCCTGACAGTCACGGCTCCCCGCGAGCTCTGGAGAGGGGCAGGCGTGTGTGTGTGTGTGTGTGTGAGACCCCGCCCCCGGCACTGCTGTACTCGCCATGGGCAGGTACGCTCTTGCTCTGGTGGAGCAGGGACAGTCGTGGCTGCCGTGCAGGACCTGTGGGTGTGACCAGGGGGCACGTGTGAGCCTCTGCACCGTGCCAGGCCACAGCGGGCGTTGGGCTGTCATGCGGGCCGTGCCCTCACCTTGTCCACCTGCCAACTTGACTTCACCTGGATGTCCAGCTGAAACTCACCTAAAACGGAACTCGTGTTTCCTCCGTCAAACTGCCCCTCCCGTCTCCCCATCTTGGCAGATGTCTCCACCGCCGTCCTTCGCTTACGCCCCGATTCTAGGAGTGACTTTGGCTTCTCCTCTTTGCTCAGTAGCCCAGTCAGTCCCGACTCCAGAATGAGTCGTCCATTCCCTCCAGCCCCTGTGCTCCCACCACAGCCTTGTTCCCGGGCTCCTCGTTTCTACAGCCCTTCTCCCCACAGCAGGCGGGGTCTAGGCCGAAGGCACATCTGAACTTGTCCCTTCCTGCTTGAAGCCCTCCAGGCGCTCCCCCTGAACTCAGAAGCAAGTCCAGCCCCTTACCTGGGCTCCAGGCCCCTGCCCTCCTGCCCCCTCCCTCTGGTGCAGGAGCCAGCCAGGCTCCATCTTACCTCGGCTTCTGCTCCCCCTGCCACTGCAGGGCTGACTCCTCGGTCTCAGAGGGGCCTTCTCTGTCCCTCTGTCACATCTCTACATTTCTCTGTTGACGTGCTTTTTCCTCCCTCCCATTTCCCCTCCCTGGAAGCTGAGGACAAGGACCTGTCTGTGTCCTTGGCACCTGCATGTTGCCTGGCACCTTGGTGCACTTGGTAACGGGTGGCAGTCGTCAGCCCGTTGATTGGCGGGAGGCAGACACTGACACTCAGAAGTCACACCTAGGAAGCGGCCCTCAGACCCCAGAGCCCGGGCCCTCTCCGCGATGCAGGGAGGGGCGGGGCCAGGTGTCTGCAATCTGGCCTTTGCCCGGCCAGAGCCTGCCCCACGCAATTCCTGAAACTCACCTAAAACGGAACTCGTGTTTCCTCCGTCAAACAGGAGAAGCCCGGAGAGTGTGACGCCTTCTCTTAAACGGCCCTCGAGGATTTCTGCATCAACCACGTTGTGGGCTCTGGACCGGGCTTGGGGTGCGGACGAGGCACGTGGGCTGGGGTCTCGGTGCACCTCGGACGTTGGGCGTGTTGCCCACCTTTATGGCCTCCCGTCCTCTCCTCCCACCAGGTCGCACCAGCTTCTACGAGGAGTACGGGGTCATCCGCGACGTCCTGCAGAACCACCTGACGGAGATCCTCACGCTGGTGGCCATGGAGCTGCCCCCCGACATCAGCAGCTCGGAGGACGTGCTGCGGCACAAACTGCAGGTCTTCCAGGCGCTGCGGGGCCTCCGGAGGGGCAGCGCCGTCCTGGGCCAGTACCAGGCCTACAGCGAGCAGGTGCGCAGGGAGCTGGACAAGCCGGCCGGCTTCCTCAGCCTGACGCCGACCTTCGCAGGTGGGCCCCGGGCCGGGCGCGGGCTGCCCCACTGGACACTGCTTTCCCAGCCCAGACGCCCTTGGGTTTAGGCCAGAAGGGTCTTGAAGTGGGGTTTTCAAGGGGCACTCGGGGGCCTCCCATCAGCTTAAAGCAGCAGGTCCCCCGCTGGCTCCCTCAGGGTGAAGGACACCCCGTGACAGTGTCAGTTCAGTCCCTGTCCACAGATCCTCCAGGGCTGGCTCACGCCTGGCTCTCACCCTCATGGGGCTGACGTCCAGGCCCCCACCCCCACCCCCTCAATGAGGCTGCAAGCCTGTCCGGCCATTGCCCAAAGCACCCCCCGCGGGCAAGGACCACGCTGGTCAGGCAGGGCCCCCCAGAGCCATCCTCTGGGCAGTCCCTGAGGCTCAGCTTTCTGGGAGAGGGTGCTCCCCCAGGCTGCAGATAATACCCCACAACAGGGGCAGCACTGCTGTGTGCCAGGCACTTTATCTGCGTCATCTCGTGTAGTCCTCACACACATGCACCCACGTGGCAGGCATGTTATTACCTGCACTTAGAGGGAGGAAATGTGAAAAACCTGCCGAGATCTGCAGGGAGAGTGACGGGGACACGGGCAGGGAACTGAGTCAGGAGGACGCTCCGCACC